TATAAGCTAAACTGATATTAATATGATAAACTAGTTTTAAAACAAGTATTTGAGTTAACTATTAACATATATTATTTGTTATCGATAAATAATATATTGTGATAATGATCAATATATTATTATATATTAATAAATAATATACTAATAATAATCGATTATTATTAATATGGATATTTATCGAAGATTATCAGAGTCGTCAATTAATATTGATATCTCAGAGAGATATTTATCAATTTTTACAGATATAGTAATAATTCTCAATGAATATCTTCTCAAAAAATTTTCTGATGATGATTTAAAAACTCCACCTGATTTACAAGCTCTCACAGATGTTATGATAATGCTTTGTATTTGACCTGCTAAACTTAAAATTTTACGTATTATAGATGTTGAAGTGATAAGATATGTGAAAAATCAAGATCAGCCAGATATTTCTAGAAAATTTAGATCTATGGAAAAGAATCAAGAATGAGCTAAAGAACTACTTACTTAGATTCAACATACTATATCATCTGGATAAATAGATGATCCAGGTAAGCCAGAAGTTAAATAGTTCAATAAATTCTTAAAAGATTATGATTTAATTTCTAAATATTTACATAAATTAGGAGCAGTTTACAGTGCAGTAGTACATAAAGCTAAGAATCCAGCTCACGTCTATACTATTGCTAGAAAATATCTACATCATAATTTAGATAACCATACTTTACCTGTGCAAAATTACATTATAGTCAATTATAGAAAAAGAGGAGTTTCTTATGAATAAGCAAGACCATTTCATCTCTATAATGATCAAAATTAATCATGCTTCTTTACTTTTATTATAGAGCAATAGCTTTTGCCTATCACATCTATAGTAACATCTTTATTATCATTGCCAGAGGTAGTCACTTCATGGCTAGATGATTCAGAACTAGACCCAGACCCAGATGAGGATGAGAACTCAGATGCTATATTATTAAAAATTAGTTTTTTTCTAGCTTGGCACTTTCTTATGGTCTCATATTGAATATGTTTTTTAGGAATATCTGGGTTTGCTATCAAGTTTATAAGTTCTTGATGAGTCTCAGATTTCATTATCTCTAGTAATTGGCAGAGAGAAATCCAGATTTTTTTATCTAATACTTGTCTATGAATACTGGATATTATCCCAATAGTATTCTGCTAATCTGTTAAAGTCTTGGTTACTGTTTCGATACATTCACGTAATTCTTGCAAATTGATTAATACATCTAACTCTTTACAAAATTCTTAAGACAAGATAATATTGATCATGCTAGCTCTGTTGATATTATCTTTTATAACAGACTTAATATTATCTTGAGTCATTGTAAATGCAGAATTATTATTTATTAATATGAATTTAAAAATACAGAATTAAATGTATTGTTATAATAAAACATCATGATGAGAATTTTATCTTGCGAAATTAATAAAGTACCAGTTAAAACTATATTAGATTCCAGTGCTAATTGTAATATTATAGGTAAGAGTATAGCAAAAATAGTAGGCTTGAAAATTGATAATACATCTGATACAGAAATATACAATCCTATTAGCAAGTTCAATATATTAGGAATAATTCATGTAATGGAAATTTCAGTCCTGTCTCAAGATCGGAAATGGGAGCAGGTAAAAGTTATTGATATTTTCATTACCAATAAACCTCCAAAAGAATCATGTTCATGTTAAAAAGAAAAAGATTGACTCTTCTATCTGAAAATATTGTAAAAATAAACATATCAACTATATCTACATTGCAGAGTAGTGATCCATTCAATCAGAATAATTAAAAAACCAGAAAATTATTAACCCATATATATAGTAGATTCTCTTTATTTTTTAAAAAATTACCAGATGGCATACAGATAAAAAAATATATGTTTCAAAAAAGATGAATCAATTATATGCTTGATCCAGCATATCATCCTGTTGACCAGGATTTAACCAATTATTATCATCATTATTCTTATCACATTCTAAATTATCTTTTGACATTTTCCTCAAGATCTGCTTATCTAATTTTTATTAAAGATATAATTTTGTTAGTCACTGTCTGTCTTCAGCAATTATATTTCAATAAATAAAATGCTTTATAGAGTATTTATAATACAAAACTCACAAGATAAAGATTGTCTCAGTTTGCTTCATTGTCTGGTTCTCAGTGCAGAAAATGATAGGTTGCTAGAATAATTGCTCTCAGATACATTATTATCATTGGTCTTGGGGGCAAAGGAATCATTGATCTTGATAGCGGTTTTCTTATTACTGCTCATTTTCACATTCCTAAATACAGAATAGTGGTAATCATAAATGTATTTTATGATATTAACTAAACAGCAATATATTAAATAGTGGTATATTACTTGGAATTAGTAGTTTTAAACGTTATTGGACCCACCTCACAGAAGAAAAAAGTCTTGTATTTTATACTGTCCAGAAGCATTAAATCTATTCCAAAACCCAAGTAATTTCGTCATTTTCTTTGGTTAGAATAAATCCCTTAAATTAGACAATCTCTCCTGTAAAGGTAATGATCTCAATGATCTGGAAAATGCCAAGTCATTGTAACATATGAACTTTGATATAACTACTAATGAGAAACGATAAGCCCTTCCCTCTTATGGCTCTTTTAAACTCATTGCAGGTTTTTCTTATCAGGAAATAGATCGTAAGAAATAGCCGGTTTGTGTC